CGCCAACATCCGGACCAGATAAGGCACTGAAGAAGAAGAATGTCATTATTGGTCTGATGAATGTTTTGTAAATTCTGCCTTTCGTTTCTTTCCCGATATTTTGGATCGTTTTGATTATTCCTACAGGTATCTCTCTTGCGTACAGTAAGTGGCTAACATCTTTTAATTTGACCCGGTCAAATGCCTTCTTAAGGTTCACGAAACATAGATATGCCGGTTTGTTGTATTCTAATGATTTCTCTTGCACTTGCCTCATTATAAATATAGCGTCGGTGCATGATCTTCGGTTTTGTTGTCACCTCTGGTGTTGGTGGTTCATTATCGTCACCTTTAGCAAATAGGAATCGAAAGTAGGCTACTCATGTTACCTTCTAAATGTGTTTCGTTGTTATTAGTTCGTTCATCTCTTTTTTTGTCCTCTGATTATTCTCCATATTTTTTTTTGTGTTCCGTAGTAGTCGTATTCCATCTGTTTTGAGAAGCTCTGCCAGTGTTCCTTTTTATTTGTCTAACTAAAGTATTCGTTTCATTTCTGATTCGTCTGTACTGGTTGTATGCCTGTTGTGTTTGTTGTGTTCTGTATTGTAAAAAAGCTTTCTTCTTTTCTTCACATTTTGTCTTTACTTCCTCTCTAAACCATGGTGTTTTCTTTTTTGATATGTTAGTGTTCATTACTTTCCTCTCTCCAAGTGATTCTGTTGCTGCGTTAATTATGTTATTTTTGAGTTTTTCCCAGCTTTCCTCGATGTTACCATTTTCTAATATTTTATTCTCAGCGATCTTCTCTGATATTCTTTGTTTATGTTGGCGCCGCTCTCTTTGGGGGGGGGGGAAGTATTTCAGGATGATTCTTATTTTACATAAGACTAGGCTATGGTCGCTACCTACATCTGCTGAGTTGAGGCATCTTACGTCGATTATTTTCGATGGTTGTATATCTCGGTTGGTTATAACATAATCTATCATAGATCTTTGACTACGGGTGTTATTAAATATATATGTGTGTTGGTCTTTGTGGTCAAAAAGTGTGTTGTTTATTCTGTTTTTGAAATTAGAAGGAATATAAAGAAAAATTATTTCCATACTATACAAACATCACAATCAAGATGTACCAGACAACAACAATAAACAAACCAAGACACTTGAATGTTACGAGGAACACTCTCGAATTATGATTTACAATGTATCGTACGTATGTATAACTTTGTAAATCATGATTTGGGATTTATACAATTTATACAGATTGTAAATCATTATTTGAGAGTGCTTCTTGTAACATTTAACGTGTCTTGGTTTGTTTATTTGTAGTGCATCTTGATTGTGATTTTAGTATAGAAACAAGGAAATTTGTCTATCAATAATCTAAGCGGAGACTTAGGACCTAAGATTAATTAAGGAGAGATTATTCATGCAATAAGATCAGTGAAAACGAATAAATCTCCGAGTCCAGATCAAATGCCAAGGATTTATTAAAGCTTATCAACGAAAAACTTCTGGATATTTTTATGTAAAATGAACACAACAGGAATCATCTCCCAAAAAATATTAAAATTAAACCTAGCAAAGAATTCAAAGACTACCGAAGACTTAGGCTCATCTTAAATACAATAACAACCCTCTTAAGAATCATACACAACAAAATACAACCAGATCTAAAATTAGACATTAGTAACACGCAGTTGGGCTTCCGTAATGGTGTGGGAAATATACACAATAAAATTAACAAGAAAAACTCTAGTTACTTTTAATGTTCCCATTTCCATTCAAAGTGGGTAAAGGGTAAAGATGATAAAACAAAAAAAAATTATAAGAAGCAGAAAGAGCAACAATACTAACGAAATTCTAATAGTAGGAGGCCAGCAGATCGAAAGAGTATATAAATACACAATATGCGTGTATGTATAATAAAATACAATTAAAAACGTCCGAACTTTATAATAATGGAAAAAAAAAATTGTAATAGATATTTGCCATTAGCCCTAAAACACTATTAATTAAATGTTACCTACACAGGTATGTATACACAGTTGGTTTTGCAATTATTTACTAAATATTTTAAATTATTCCACATATCTTTAGAAGATTGAGCATATATGTTTTTAAAATATGATTTTTTCTCTCTCGTGGTCATTTTTATAGACATTCCATTTATTTACATTTTTAGTACTCTTATGAACTGTAAGAGTTTTCTCCCTATCTAACATTAATTGCTTGATGGTATCAGTTAACCATGGAGCATATTTCTTTGAGATTCTAAAACTCTGATATGGAACATTTATGTCCAGGAGAGTAATGATATTATTAGAGAGAAAATCGACTTTACTGTCTATATCTGGCAATTCATATATTATTCCCCATGGTATAGATTTCAGATCTGATTTAAACTGACTATAATTTGAGTGTTTGAAATTCCGAGTAGTAATAAATTTCTTTGTATTAATTTTGATATCACAGCCAAATTTTAAAACAACCATTTCATGATCGCTTATTTCTGAGATATGTTTTACTTTAACAGACAAAATTTTATCCTCGGTAGATGTAATTATATAATAAAGCAGAGTAAATGTCAACTGGGTGATTCTAGTTGCTCGATTTAACATCTGCTTTAGTCCAACACCATCTAATACATCTGTAATTAACTGTGTGGAATAATTATTGGTATTTAACAGATCAACCTTAAAGTCCCCAAAACAGAGTAAATGATCTACACTTGGCAATATTGATGATAAAAATGTTTCCAAAACTCCAAAGAAAGTTCTATAAAATGCTCCATAAGGGTTATATAAAACACCAGTAGCTAATGTTTCATATCGAAGAGAGAGTTTTAGCCATATTTGTTCAATTTCATCCGATGACTCAATCAGCACATAATTTATATTATATTTTATGTAAAAACCCACACCTCAACCTGTGTCATTTTTATTCCTGTCTACACGCTCAAAGTTATAGTCAGGTATATTAATGTTCTTACTGGATATTGATTCCTTTAACCACGTTTCACTTATACCCAAAATATCTCAATCATTTTACAGAATAAGTTCCTTTACATCAATAAAATGCGCAACTAGCGATCTAGAATTTATATGAGCACACTTTAAACTACTCATGTTATGCTTAGATCCCTACTTAATTGGTACAAACGATTATGTAATCAATTTAAGCATAATTTGTAGATGATTATTATTTACATAAATTAATGAATAATTAAAAAAATAATAAATATTACTCTTTAATTCAAACCACGTTAAGGCGCGTACAGATATGCGAGCCAAACGGTATTCGTACCGTACGCGTACAGATCCTTGAAAATATATCTACATCGTACTGATCGCATACTTATCTCGATCAATGGAAAGCAATAACACTAACAACGAACACACATGTGCGAAATGATTCATTTTATTTATAATTTGGGTACTGATTTATCGTGTTTCTGTAAATCAAGACAGCATTTTGCTTGTTTAACAAAAATAAAAATATGTCATCATCACATCATATAACGGGGGTCCTACGGCGATTGCCGCTTCCCGCATTTCAGCCTCCATCTTTTAGTATCTCCCCAATCTCCCTCTTCTAAGCCTCTAGATTGCATTGTTTTTGTAATTTCTCTTCTCCAGGAATTTGGTGGTCTTCCCCTTTTCCTTCTTTCTGGCGGAACATACATTAAGGCTTTCTTTGGCCACCGCTCCTCCTCCATTCTCATCACGTGACCATACCATTGTAATTGCCTTCCTTGTATTCTATCTGAAAGAGTATCTCTAATTCCTGTACGGTTTCGTATTTCCTCATTCCTGATTCTTTCCATTCTCGATACTCGACATGACCTTCTAAGATAATCCATTTCCACAACGTCTACTTTATCTCGTTCATTCTTTGTCATCGTCCAACATTCGGCACCATATGTGGTAATTGGTTCTACAATTGCTCTGTATACGCGAAGTTTGGTATGCATCTTTATTTTATTAGACCACAGTAATGAATTCAGTATTCGGATGCATTTTTTCCCTTGGGTTATTCGGTTTTGTACATCTATCTTAACTCTGCCATCTGCTGATATGATCCTTCCTAGATATTTATACTGGTTGCAGCCTTTTATGACTGCGTTTTCAAGCCTCAGATCTGTGGTATTTCCTCCAATTTTTAAATATTCTGTTTTGCTTATGTTTACAGTAAGCCCCCATTTGGCATATTCCTCAAATAATTTTCGATTAATATAATTTATATCTTCCTCATCGGTTGCAACCACCACCTGATCATCTGCAAACAACAATGTATACAGAGTTTCTTGTCCCACTTCGATGCCCATAAATCTACATTTATTTCTCCAATTCCTCAATGCTTCTTGGACGTATATTTTAAAGAGTGTCGGTGACAAACAGCATCCTTGCTTTAGGCCTTTAGTGACTTTAAATTCATTTGAGGTTCTGGTTCCAATTTTTACACAACTAACTGCATTTTCGTACAATTTATATATCGCTTAAAAATATGTACATGTACAATAATCAGTTTACTCAGACAATACCAATTTGATGAGACAATAAAAATGTTCGCTGCGTCTAGTAGCGCCGTCCAAACTGAAAGACGAAGTGGTGGAATAAACCGCAACAATTTGGTTCGCGACGAGTCACGATGAAACAGTACGCATACAGTACGCAAGCAGTTTTTTCTGCCGTACACATTAACGAATATAGCGTTCGCATACCGTATGCATACCGTTTAATTTTAATTTAAGCGTTAAGAAAATAATCTTACAGTAAATAAATTAAATGAGTCTATGTTCAGATAATTAAAGCAATAATTAAAAAGAAGCAAAAATAAATGTTCAAAGAAAAATAAAAAAAAGTAAATACCTCTATGCTAAAAAGTATCCTCGAGATGTACCATTATAACAAATAAAAATATTAACTTTAATGGGCAAACCAACATATTAAAATGTAATAAAAAAACAACAATTTATCACCAACACAAATAATCAAGTTATGTTCAAATAAGATTCCTACCTTTCATATACAGCCATGGCATGTCTAGCCATCCCGTGTTCCTCTTCTAATTTTGCATAAAGCAGATAGAGGTGTTTGGCAAACTGTTGTGGACATCCATCCAAGCATTGTTCGAACAGATCTCTAGCACGTTCTAGTTTTGATCCCCCATAACGAGTTAAAAATTTCGTCAAATAGGTGTTCCATATATCGTATACATTGGGCCATTTAAATAGAGATATTCCTTTTTCATATGCTCTAAAAAGGAAAAAAGAGAAGAGTTAAAAAATTATATAAAAAAACATATAATTATCAGTCCACCCTAAGAAGTAAAACAAGAACTATATTATGCAACTACAATTAACACCATCTTACCTGAATGCCTCTTCAAAGTAATTATTTTCTTCAAGAAATATCCCATAATTTATAATAATTTGCGGAGTTGCAATCTTCAAATCTATAATTTTGTCGTAAATGGCTTTACAAGACTTAAACGTACCGAAACTTTCTTCTAAATCTGCATACATAGACCAAACTTTGAGAGACTTATAAAGACGACTTTGGACTGTTTCAGTGTCATCGTGATATGCAACTTTTCGACTAGGCATAACAGTTGCTCTAAAAAATAAAAAAGTAAATGAATTGTAAATAATGTATTAAAAAAATGAAGAACCTGAAAGAATTATTTAAAGTAACTAACGCCTCGCAATATACATAATATAATCTCAATGTCTGCGGATTTAATGAAATACGACGATATCGGGCGTGTATTTTGGCAAATTATGTACCATTTCCTTGAGCCAAGTTTTAAGACTCTACGTGATTTATATGCAGTTGATGACGTTTGACCTATTGACCCTAAATATAACGGGACCAATAGGAATCTGTGCACAAAGTTTTAGGATTCTAGAACTTTTCCTTCAAGAGATATCTGAGAAACAGATGGTGAGGTAGGCAGACAGGCGGAGAGACAACGACAAAGTTTCAAGAAGGACCTGCCAGGCCTTAATAAGAATGTAAATTCTTATTAACTTTAACAGTGTCGAGTCTCTAGAGGCACTTTTGTATCAATTTACTTGGTGACTTACTTATGCATGAGTCTTAAAGCTTCATCATAATTCTCGTTCCTTATTTCCATTTCGGCCCATTCACACCACACTGTTGCCAAATCATCTACTTTGACGTAAGAAACTTGAGATGCTTTTTCAAAGATGAGGCGTGCATCTTCTATTTGACCATTTGTCTCGTAAAATTTGGCAAAGTCCACCCATAAGGTATGAAGTTTTCCTACAGCCAGCTTTGGATCTACAGTTTGAACAGCTTCTGTGTAGGTGTTGATTATATCGACTGGTTTTCCTGTGAAGATTAAGATAGTTAGTAAACTGTAAATTATTATTGCAAAACTTTTATTTATTTATTTTATTATTTCATAATAATATACAGATCGATCTAAAAAAATCATAATATTGAATTTAAATAGCTGTCCATATACAATTCAAAACAAAAAAGGTGGAGCGCACACAATAGATAATAGTACATATTGTAAGGAGTAGTTATTACTTAGTATATTCATATAACCTTATTAGTACAATGAAATTGTTGGAGATTATTGATTGTTGAATCGAGTATATTGTTACGATTTTAAATATTATTGCGTATAAAACTGTAAATACATTATGACTAATCACGTATTTTCTAGATCACGCACCGGCCGAGACGCAGGTAAAAAACCTACCTGACCCTATGGGTCCCCCTTCGATATGAAAGCGGTCAACTACTACTCGATCTTTCTGGAAAGAGGCCGCTATATAAAAAACCAGTTCTAGACTATTCAGGTCAACTTCCGTCTACTTCACGCCAGATTCTTCCAGATAACGGCGTTTCAAATAAATAACGGCGATTCTCATTGAGGAGGGTTAGTGAAGAAAAGAAACTCGCGGAACGTGGCTTAAATTGTATCGAACGCAAATAAATTATTTGTAATTATTAAGCGTAAAATAAATTAGTATAAAATAAAGACTTTTGATAAATTACCGTGAGTTTTAATAAATTAGAATAAAGACAATAAATTAGAATAAAGACAATAAATTAGAATAAAGACAATAAATTAGAATAAAGACAATAAATTAGAATAAAGACAATAAATTAGGACTAATAAAAACATTATAATATATTTTATGTGCCTCAAGTGTTTTGTTTTAAATTGTACTTGTATTTAATTTATTTCATAAATATTTAAATTCACTATCATAAACTTTGTAGAATGATCTTTATGAGATTATGAATCTGTATGGTCATAAGAAATTATTGTATACTTTTTAGTTCGTATCAAAAAGTCTTTAAAATATTTTTTATTTAAATAATTATTCTTGTTTTTTAGACTTTCATCATCATCAACAGCTATTCCTCCCACCATCCGATGTAAGCATCCCATAGGTGTATCCATTCATTTCTGTTGGTTGCTTTTCGCATTAAATCGTGACCAGCCGTTCGCCTGATGTCATCAGGCCATCTGGTATAATGTCAGCCTCTTCTTACTCGCTATCATTAATTCTGCTTGTTTAGTGGTAGACTAATCCCTGTATGGAAGTTTGTCTGAAGCTTGCTATTTTGACCACTTTGGTCTCCTATTTTCTACTTATGTGATTAGTCCTTCCCTTTTTCTGTTTAATATAGGCTTTATAGGCTATACTAAATAGCCTTTGAGTTGTGGCTATGTGGGGTCTTGTTTTTGATGTAGACGTCATTATTGATGCTTTACTGGCTTTATAAATTCTTGATTTTTTCTGTGTTTCTACATAGGTTTCGTGATAGAGTGTTGTTAAGGCACCCTACCAGTCATTTCTCTCTCTCTCTCTCTCTCTCTCTCTCTCTCTCTCTCTCTCTCTCTCTCTCTCTCTCTCTCTCTCTCTCTCTCTCTCTCTCTCTCTCTCTCTCTCTCTCTCTCTCTCTCTCTCTCTCTCTCTCTCTCTCTCTCTCTCTCTCTCTCTCTCTCTCTCTCTCTCTCTCTCTCTCTCTCTCTCTCTCTCTCTCTCTTCAGGTCTTCCTGACAGAACAGTGTAATCTCAAGGTATTTTACTTCCATTACTTGTTCAATACTAACACAATCGATTTCTAATTTACATATTTTTGGTTCTTTACCGATTACAATTGTTTTGGTTTTTTAAGTTGAGATCGTTATATTGAATTATTTTGCTTTTGTATTGAATCTGAGGAATAGTCTTTGTAGACTATCTTCATCTTCATCATCATTTTGGCTTTACAACGCTGTGTGGGTCCTAGCCTCCCCAATAATTCTCTTCCAGTCGTCCCTATCCATCGGCTTCCTCCGCCAAGCACGTATTTCCATATTTCTCATATCTTGGTCTATGTTATCTAGGAATCTTGTTCTGGGTTTTCCTCTTCTTCTTTGACCAATAGGTCTATCAAGGAGCGTTTTTCTAGCTGGGTCGGTTTGCCCCATCCGCATTACATGGCCTCTATCTTCATCTCAGTTTACCATTATTCCGTCGTTTGCATAATAGAGTATTTTGAACTATTTGTTTCTTATTATATGTCCTCTTTCTTTGTTATTGCTTTTGATGAGTTCATCCATGATTAAGTTAAAGAACAAAGTGCTTAATGAGTCCCCTTGCCGTATTCCTATGTCATATGTCTATAGGTTCTGTCAGTATGTCATGTCAATAGATCATATAATTTTGAACCATACACAACAATTTTGAACCATACACAACTGTTTTCTTATGGCATGTTTGAGTTATATATCGTATTTATATGAGATTACACCACAATTGATCGTAATCAAATTATGTTAACCTGTAAATGTTTATCAATTGGCGCTTTGTAGTAGCCGATTTAGCGACATCACCGAGGGTGATACAATTTACCCTCGGATTGATATCAAATTCTGATATTTATGTGTTCTTTTTTCATTGTAGCTGATGTATCTCTGGCCTTCCATTAACTCATTAATGTTGGCATATTCTTATTGCTGGCTTGTTCTTGCAATATTGGTAATCAGCGTCTGCTACATTCTGTTGATGAGTTTGATACATTTTTTTTTTCATTTAGTAAGATGCGGGTTACTTCTGTTGTCTGTTTCTTTCATGAACAGTTGCATTAACAAGGTATTTTATTAATGCAGTTCTTTAATTTCTCCTGTGTGTTGTTTTGTTTGGTTTTGGACAGAATAGATCTCTGGGTGTTAGTGTTTTTAATGTTGTTGTGATGTTGTTGTTGTTGTATTTATTTCCTACCCTTTTTAATGTTTCTGATGTACTTCAAATCCTTATAGGATTTGATGTAAAGGTCTTCCTTAAGGACTAAACCACTTTAAAGAGGATACCCTAACGTGCGAAATAAACAAAGTATCATCAGAATGATTGTTTTTTAAGCAATAATATTTTGTACTTATATTTATTTATTAAATAATATTAAATAAATAAACAATATTTTATTCGCATTTACAAGCGGCACTTTGGAGGAGGTCAGCAGATAACTTTACTGGACAGTCATATTTTTTATTTATATTATGAATTAATAAAGTATGATATGTTATGTTACCTTCATAAAGCTGTACTCTTTTGTGCCATTCCTGTACATTATGTGGATTCTGCCTTAACAAAACAGAATTCAGCAGCAACAATCTTCTCTCCATCAAATATTCATACCTTGCAAGTCTCAATTCTAATTCAGTATCATCATCTTCAGTAGGACTAGACTTGTTAGCAACTTCTTCCATTCGCTTGCTTAAACTTAGTTCCTCAAATTGGGCATAAGCATCAAAAACTTGGGTGAAGTCCCTAACAGTGGTTACTGTTTGGATAGCCTCTTCATATATATCACGAGCTCTTTCAAATAGACCACTGCGAACATAATAGTTGGCTAGAGAATTCCATAGGTGACCTAAACATAGAAAATAGAAGAATAATGATACTAATTGTGCCAATCATTTTATTATAATATCCTACTAAATTAAATTTAGTTATAAACAGATGAAAATTATGAGTATAGATATACACTAGCGGCCAAAATTCTGGAAACTTTTCAAAAACTTTAGTTTTGTTATCAGCATTCCTCTTTTTCACAAGACTTATGTTATTTATAAGTTTATCAAGTTATTTATTAAGTAGATATATTTAAAAAAAAAATGGTACAATGATTATTATCAACAAAATTAGTATTTGGTACGATAACCTTTGTTTTTTAGGACAGAATCAATTCTGCGAAGCATGGAGTTGACGAGACGAGCCAAATCTTCTGGTGTAATAACTCTAAACCAGTTTTGAATAATGGCTTCTATCAGTTCTCTCTTGTTGCTTGGGTTTCGGCGTGATACTAAGACTTTCAGCCTTGACCATAAATTTTCTATTGGATTTGGATCGGAACTATTTCCAGGCCAAGGCATAACAGTAACATCATGGTTTCTCAACCATTCCATGGAAGTCTTAGCCGTATGACAAGGCGCTCCATCCTGCTGGAAGATGCATTGTTGGGCATCCCCTTCGAACAAATCTCTGACAGTCGGCAGCAGTTTGGCTTGAAGTATCTCTTCCTGATATTTTTTGCATTAATATTGCCCTCTATTCCTGCTAAACGTCCAACTCCATTAGTAGTCATGCAAGCCCATACCATGATACTCACAGGATGCTTCATAGTGACCGTAGTACACTGGGGCAAAAGGTCTTCTCCCGGTCGGCGGCGAACAAACTTCACTCCGTCACTCCCAAAGATCGAGATTTTGGTTTCATCACTCCAAATTACTTTACTCAATTGTTCTTCCGTCCACCCTCTGTGTGCCACAGCCCAATCAATGCGTTTTGGCCTCTGTTTTTTGTTCAGGAACGGCTTCGTTCTAGGAATTCGTGCTCGCAATCCATTTTCATACAACTTTCTTCTGATAGTGCGGTCCGATATTTGTAATCCAGTTGATTTGACAATACCTTAATAACAATACATAATAACAATACGTTAATATCTTTTGCGGATCTGCGACAATCTTCTAATGAAAGTCCGCATATTCTACGCACATTGTGGTGACTAACTTTGGGTTTTCAGTCAGATCTTTTTGCTGATTTTGTCGTTCCACGTTTGCAAACTTTTATTACACCTGATTTTGTGGCGCTACCACACAATTTGTTTGCTATTTCTTGATAAGTGTAACCTTCTTCTCGTAGGATAATTGCTTTAGCTCTCTTTCCTGGCGACCAGTCAACACGTTTTGGGTTTCTGGTTGCCATTTTCGTTGAATCGACGCTGATGAATTCCTCTCCGAAAATTAAACAATATCACCTTAGTAACAACTACCTGATGTCACTAATAGACACTGAAAGCCGCACGAAACTTTACTAAAGGCCACCTAACCGCTTGCAGTTGGGTTGTTGACTGACTAGCAAAACCCTGACGCAATACAGTATTGCCAATGTTGCCATTCGGATTTTCGGCGTTTCGCTTGAATCTGGTTCCATATTTTATTAAATAATGATGTTAATAAAAAAAGAGTGAGAAATACATAAAATATTATGCAGGAATATAAAACAATAAAATAAAAATGTAATTGTAATGGTAAACTATATAAATCATGATCATGAGACGAGTCTTGCTAAAAAAACGATAATTTTTGTAAAGTTTCCAGAATTTTGGCCACTAGTGTAGGCAAACTGATAATAGTTTAAAAAAAAATATTTTTACCCCATACACAATACTGATGTTGTTAAAGACGTGCATGGATTACTATAACTATTTTCAATGGATATTTGGATAATAGTCAATGGAGAAGTTATCAATAACATTCGATATGCTGACGATACTGTGATAATGGCAAGAACAGCGGAAGATCTACAACATCTAGTTGAAAGTATGAATGAGATATGTAATAACTATGGCATAAGGATGAACGTCAAAAAAACCAAATATATGACCTTCAGTAAAAATCCAATACATGACACTAGTATCGCAATAAACGGTACCCAACTCGAAAAAGCAAGCTAATACAAATACTTGGGAACCCTGATCAGTGAAACAGGTGACCAAAATCACGAGATAAAAAGACGTATTGAAATTGCCAGGTCTACCTTTATAAAAATGAAAATATTATTTTGTAATAGTGATATTAGTATTCATCTACGAACTAGAATGTTAAAAATCTTGAAAGCTTTGAGATGTGGTGCTACCGCCGTATACTAAAAATAAGTTGGGTGGATAAAATTACAAATAAATTTGTAATACGCAGAATAAATAACGATCCAGAAGTTATACTGAATATAAAAAAGAGAAAACTTGAATACTTAGGCCACCTGATGAGAGGACAAAAGTACACGTTCCTACAAAATATAATGCAAGGAAAAATCCAAGGACGCAGAAATCCAGGCCGTAGAAGAATGTCTTGGATGAGAAATTTAAGAGAGCGGTTTGGCTGTACCACTAACGAATTATTCAAAACAGCAGTAAATAAAATTAGAATCGCCCTAATGATATCCAATCTCTGATAGGAGAGGCAGTGAAAGAAGAAGAAGAACGAGGCTTGTTGGTAGTAGTCACCATACGGAATGATGTTGAATTTATGGCTTGACTTTATTAATGTAAAGTTTGGTTACATCTATGTTTTAAGACATTAAGACAAAAAGCAAAAAATATTACTTCCATACAGACGTAAATTTAAATAACGAGTAGCAATATTAATTTCCAGACATGATTTTTGAAAAAAAAAACAGTGTGAAATAGCTTTTGACTAAATAGTGTTTAAATTAGAAATAAATCGATAACTTATGTGTAGTTTTTCAGAGACACTATGAAATAGACAGATACTGTAGAGTTTGTCCTGGATCATCATCATTTTGGCTTTACAACCCTGTGTGGGTCCTAGCCTCCCCAAGATTTTTTTTCCAGTCGTCCCTATCCATCGCCTTCCTCCGACAAACAGGTATTTCCATACTGAGCCACCAAAATATCAGGGTAAAAACCCTTTAAAATACATAAGGTTACAAAAGATTGTACATAAACAACATTACTTCTATATAAGATTGTACTGAGTCTTTGATTTTTCAAAATAGTTGTTTGCTGTTCATAGCTCTTCAATTTGGCTATACTAATATTGGGAACATCTTTAAATATGGATATGACAGAATGAGTTAGGGTACACCTATATTGGAACCGTATGTCTCCCGATCCGATCCGATCCGATGTAGGCAGATTTTTCGATCCGACGTATTCCGACGTGAGTGCCTATACTCGTTCAGTTAACGTCCGACCACCGACAATGAGTACCGATGAATTTAATGTGTTGGTTGTTGCTAAAAAACAAAGTCTTAAAAGACATAGAAGAAAACGTACCTGGATACATAAATTTAACGAAGACAGATCTTCAGGAGAATTTAATAAAACTTTCCAAACTGTACGTAACTATCCTGATAAATTTAAAGTGTACCACCGCATGAGTACAGAAATGTTTTATTATATTCTTGAAGGAATATAAGACAACATATCCGGCCAAACTTCAGAGCATGCATCAGTCCCGAAGAAAAACTTAGTATCACCATAAGGTAAGTAAATTTACGTAAGTGTTTCAGGTACTTAGCAACGGGGATGTCATTTCGGTCCCTGGGCCTAACATTTAGAATAAACGATTACAAAGTAGGCAAATGTGTATGGTCAGTTGTGGAAACCAAACAAGTTTGATAGGAGCAGCTACTCAGTCCAACGTCGGCCGACATCGGTCGTTATCTGATCTGGGTTCCCACTGCAGTATAGGCACTATGCATTAATACCAGAGAACTACTACCTTGAGTTTGTTTTCAATCCGACGTTCGGCCGACGTTGCCCGATATCGGATCGGGAGAAATACGGTTTCAATGTAGGTGTACACTTAGACCATTAAGAAACGGAAGTTTTTATATTTATTGACTTGTTAGAATCATGAACGGGACCATCATAGAAATTACTGCTGAAAATAATTTTTTTTAATCTTTTTAGGATAGCCATTGTTCCGTAAAATTTTGCATATGTCCAGATTTTTTGTAAACTCCTGTTTTTCATACATAATACGGTATTATATTTTTGACGGGTATGATTTGAATAGTAATTTATATACCTGCCTGATGCTGTCGGCTTTTGGTACCAATCCAATGTCAAAATATTGTCATTTGTTTATATTACCTTCGTGTCTAAAAAGGGAATACTAAGATTTGCCTCAGTTTCGATTGTAAGCTGAAGATATTTATTAAATGAATTAAAAATGTTCAATGTGGTATTAATGTGATACGATGGAACTGCACATACTATGATGCCATCGACAGATTTATATATAAACGGTAATTCAAAAGGTAATTGCCTAATCACATTATCTAAGAGATGATTAGTTACAATAGTCGCAAGGAATGGACCAATCGGGGAATCCTTATATAAAATAACCTTACATATAATAAAATTTTCCATTGAAACTAAAGTAAGTGTTGTTAAAATAGTCAAGTCGTCAGAGATTTGACCTCTAAAAATCATATGAACAAGTGAATATTGCTGAGATTGTTAATTTTGGGACCGCAAAAAAGTTTACCACTTTTACACATATTGGATATTGGATAGATGGCGCTAAACGAGTAAGAGTGTGTTTAAGTCTAGCTCCTAGAAAACCTAAATTATTTAGGTTAAATTGCACTCATTTTAATAGTTTTTCAGTTCTAATTAGTGTAGTGCTACGTATAGTTATTACAAGTTTAAAGACAATGCCATCAACAAGAAATACTCCTGAAATAATCAATAAAAGTGTTGCACGTGTTGAGAAACTTGAAGAAGCTTTACAACAAGGTATGAAGGATCTAAGATCTTCACATATCAAGGTAAAATTTATGTTTCTCAAAATTTCAGCGTAAATTGGAAAAGATCGAATAAGATACAGTACTAATGTAATT